TAAAGCGAAACCCCCTCTATCGAACTAACACATGTCCACAAAGTGAACCTAATATGCAGGTTTGACTGTAATTAACGAAAATATAACATTAATAAAATATAATTAGTGCCTTGAAAGCATGCTCCCTTGCATCTCGCTCCCTGAACATAACGTGCCATTGGGTAAAACATTTAAAACCACATGATAAGAAATAATTGAGTACAATTTCTAGTTATAGCGTAGTGATGTCCCGATGATCGATTATAATCGAAAGTCAGTCTTTGCAGCAACCGACTAAGCGGCTCTATTATGAAAATAAATAATCAATTATAAAAAAAAAATTATTGACAATTTTTTTTCATAAAATTGGCAAACATTGATGAAATGACTCTTTATTTTATTTTGTGTTTTTTGGTTACTTTACAGCTTTGAGACAGTAAATTTAACCTACACCAAACATAAGCAAGCATAATACTTGTTATATGGCTTTTATGATATTTTAATATAAAAAATACTGTATTATCATCAGGGTCGAATTAGCGCTAGCCCGCTAGCCGGGACTCGTAATTGTTTGGAAGGCTAGTTAAAGGCCAGGCTGGCTTGCCCGTCGGGCAAGGAAACAATTCCAGACCAGATTTCGTAATTCCGCCCGTTTTAGGAATATATCAGTGTATGATTAATGGGAATTTAATTGCGGGTTTGTGAGCATTCAAATTCAGTCCAACATACCCTCAGAAAAGACATCTTGGAGCATTCGTTTAACGGGCTAGCTAGTTGAAAACCAGAAGGGTAGTAACAAACCTTACCTTACTAGCCCTTCGGGCTAGCTTGGCATATTGTCCTTATTTCTACCCTGCTTATATGATATATGCTATATTTCCAATATCTGGTAGCCGCGATCAATAACATTCTAACGTCGCGTCTGCGTCGATGTTTCAGACCACATGACGAGCATCACGCAGCAGGGACATAATGGAGACGCTTGCACTCGATGAACATGGTCAAGTACTGGAAGGGGCAACCACGTGATCTGGGTGACGGCGAAAGGCTTCGTCGAGGAGCATCTGAAGAAGCGCGCAGTACAGCGGCCGCCGCTAGTCCGTCGACCCGGAGTCGCTCGCGATGGTGTCCGCCGAAGAAAGGGCAAGATGGTGAAGCGTCGTTGAGCGGCGCGCGACCCGGAGTCGTTTGCCGCTGTGTGACCGCCGAAGAAAGGCAAGATGGTGAAGCGGTGAGCGGCGGGCGACCCGGAGTTGCTACGCTGGTGTCCGTCGAAGAAAGGCAAGATGGTGAAGTGGTAGAGACCTGCTAACCGCTGCTGGTGTGGCCGGGGATAAGAGAGCAGAGGAGGGGCATACTGCTAGGGTCTGCTACTGCTAGAGGCATACTGCTAGGGTCATACTGCTAGGGTCATACTGCTAGGCGTTGCTCTGCTAGAGGCATACTGCTTAGGGTCATTACTGCTTAGGGTCATTACTGCTAGGGTCATACTGCTAGAGGCATACTGCTAGGGTCATACTGCTAGGGTCTGCTACTGCTAGAGGCATAGTGCTAGGGTCATACTGCTAGGGTCATACTGCTAGAGGCATACTGCTAGGGGCTGCGTCTACTGCTAGAGTATGATCTGCGTAGGGTCTGCTACTTGCTAGAGCATAGTGTAGGGGCATTAACTTCTAGGTTGCTACTGCGTAGAGGCTCTACTGGCTAGGCGGCATACTGCTAGGTCGTCTGTACTGGCCTTTAATAGCGCATACTGCTATAGGCATACTGCTAGGGTCTGCTACTGCTAGAGGCATACTGCTAGGGAGAGTATGAGGAATGTGCTACTAGGGAGAAAAGGAGGGCACTGACGGCTAGAGGAAAGATGAGGGGCATCTCGATAGGGATAGTAGTAAGAAGATAGAGGAGGGGAGAGGAGGAGGGTACTGCTATTAAGGGGAGAGGAGTAGGTGGGTACTGCTATTAAGGAGGAGGAGGTGGGTACTGCTATTGGGGAGGAGGAGGAGGTACGTGCTATTAGGGGGGAGGAGAGGAGTAGGTGGGTACTGCTATTAAGACTAGAGAGTGCGAAAGGGTACTGCGTATTGGGCGAGGAGGAGGAGGGTTTTATTGCATGCGTTCGCACCAGTTTTGAAAGTTTGAGGGGGTCTTTGAAAAGTACCTTGAATTTAGTTAAATGTTGATTTTTATGCTTGGAAAGTGCTGTGAATGTTCAATGAAAATGTCCTTGTTTTTTAGAAAGATCCTTGCCTGTTATAAAAAAAAAGAAATTTTTCCATCCAATAATGTGCAACACCTCAATAAAAATTGCGGCTTAAATAAGCTTAAAAGCTATAGACACGGATAGACAGCGTTTAAATGATGATCACAAATTACGTAAGTCACTCATCAGTCAGTAATCAAGGTATGTTTGTAAGAAGTAGACAGTGTTTGAGCAAGGGCTTTATTAATGTGATCCAGAGTAAGTTTTGAGATGACATGCAGTGATTAAGAAGGGGTATTTAATTAATGCAGGTATGTTTTGTTTTGTGTATGAATTCCGATAAAATGTCTGAATAAAATGTTCTTGAATTTTCCGATAAATGTCCTTGAAAAGTCCTTGGACAAATTTCAGTCCGTATGAACCATGGTACTTGCTAATTAGGGGGGAGGAGGAGGCGTACTGCCTGTTTAGGGGAGGAGAGAGGGGTACTTTATTAGGAGAGGAGAGGAGGGGTACTGCTATTTAGTGGGAGGAGGAGGTGGTACGCATTTGGCGAGGGAGGAGGAGGGTACTGCTACTTAAGGGAAGGAGGTGGGTACTGCTATTGGGGAGGAAGAGGAGGGAAGCGGTACTGCTATTGGGCGAGGATGGAGGAGGAGGAGGGTACTGCTATTAGGGGGAGGAGGAGGGTACTGCTATTTGGAGGAGGAGGAGGAGGCGGGTACGCTATTAGGCGGGAGGAGGATGGGTAACTGGCTATTAGGAGGGGAGGAGGAGGAGGAGGGTACTGGCTATTAGGGGGGAGGAGGAGAGTATGCCTATTGGGGAGGAGGAGGATGGTACTCGCTTTAGGGAGGAGGAGGAGGCGTAGTCTATTAAGGAGAGGAGGTGGGTACTGCATTGGCGGAGGAAGAGGAGCTGAGGGTATGCTATTGGCCTATTGGGGAGGAGGAGGAGGGTACTGCTATTAGCGGGGGAGGTGGAGGTGGGTACTGCTATTAAGGAGGAGGAGGAGGAGGGTACTGCTATTATGGAGGAGGAGGAGGGTACTGCTATTAAGGAGAGAGGAGAAGTGTACTGCTAGAGAGAGTAAAAGTAGTGTACTGCTAGTGAGGACAAGAAGACACACACTGCTACTTGTTACACGCACGCCTGCACAGACTACTGCCACACTCATTCTACATGAATAGTGCTAGAACTGTTTTCTGTCAGTATGTGTTGCTCTTCGTTTCTGAATGTCGATTTTCCTTCAAATATCAACTGTAAATGTTCGAATGTTGTACATGTGTACTGGGTATATGTATATATAATTAGGTGTAGAATATATATACATAGAATATATGTATATGTAATTCGGTATAGATTAAAATCCATGTGTTAATGGATTAACTTATAGCAAAGTTTGCTTTTTATACATACCTAGGTAACATTTTTACTTGTACCGGGTTGGTTTGTAACTATACCATGCTTATGCCTTGTTCGTAAATGAGCTTGCACCTTATCACGTGACGTCGCACAACGTTTGAATTTAGTCTAGTGTTTATCTTTGCAATGCGAGTACATCGTGGTTAGACAAGCAGCGATGTAATAATGATGTAAATAATGTAATAATGATGTAAATGATGTAAACATTGATGTAAATATGAATATTTTGAACTGAAGTTTGACTCTCTTTTTTTCCCGAGTACGTGCTTTCTCTTCCACTGAAGTTTAGCTATCGCTCCGGGCCGGAACCTCCTCGCCCTACGTCGCATGCAGATGACATAATAATATGTGTACATATTATATTATATAATACACGCACGCACGCGCTCGCATAGGCCTATATAATATTATATATGTATCAAGAGTACATAATAGAGATTATTCTCTAATAGAGATTTATATCTTTATTATGTACTCTTGATATATATATATATATTTATTACCATTACTTTCGAGATGCCAGCTAGATTAGTATGCATGTGCTCAATAGTTCAAATAAAAAGCAACTTGCTTTTGTAATAATGTTAAAAATTACTCTCTAAATTATTAATCTATTATTGAATAATTTATTTATTTAAATAAAATAAATAATTATACAGATGGGTGAAGTACTCGAGTATAAATAAAGATATAATTCAGACAAATAAACAATAAATTATTAATTAAAACTAATAAATAAATAAAACTAACGAAGAGATTGATAAATTGATAAATGAATTATTAACTAAATAAACAAAATAAATTCGCCGCGACAGTAGTGGCGACGATGTTGGTGATTGTATGACGCAACTGTCATGGCGCTTTCCGTATTCTGGTGGTCTTGCTGTTAGTGACTGTTAAGAAACATTTAACTACTGTCGTGAATTAATCTTAGTCTTTATCAGTGTGTTTAACTACAACAAAAATTAAGGTACGTTGTTTTTGTCGTTAGTAAAATTTTATTGCCTATGTTTAAACGTATAAGTAATCTTGCAGCCTGTCTCAGTGACAGTGTCTGTGACTGTAACTCACGCTGCAATAGGCTACTGAGTACTGTACTCCGACTACTCACACTCAGTCACAGTACTCGCTGTATAACCCGACCAGGCTGTGTGACACGTCAATATACAGCCTGACATCCATCCATTGGAAAATCTTGTACCTCTACAAAAACTGCCGAACAATTACGTACCGGTATATCTCAAATAAAATATTAAATAATCATCTAAGCATGTCTGCCTTGTTTTGTATTAATTATATTAAGTATAACCTTCACCTTAGTATTCCATGGTTGTTATTAAAACTAATACCTCAGTTCGCTGTGCAAAGTGTAAATTTCAAGAGCCGAACCGAAATTTCAACTAACCGCCAACCGCCATGTTTCCAGTGCGCTAGCTCTAGTACTATAGCCCGCGTACAGTTGCCGCAGGGCTATAGAACGTAATATGGCAATTTCGAATGAGTTTTTTCAGACAACTTTTTGCGGATAATAACTTCTTCGGTATGCCAAATAAAACACATTCTCTGCGGAACAAATGTCTTAAGTTACTATAAACACTAAAATTAAACAGCAAACTATCGGCGTATCGCTTAAATATTGTACTTGCGATATTACTCGTCGACGAAGATTGTTTATCAACTTGTAACCGCCATTTCTCGTTGCGCAGCGCTCGCACGGTTTGCATGATTTGTCGTGTTGACTGTTGATGACAAATAACAATGACAAATGTACCACAGATTCAAGGCCCAGAACCCAGACAGTCAAAATTTGCCAGCTATTGATGTATGATAAATTGCAGATTAATAATAATATTAATGTACTCTAGTGCCGAATATTAGTATATTAGTATTACCACAAAAAATTGAGAAAAATGCAAACAATTATTATTATTTATTAAATCTTTTAGAAGAGTAGATTTTGGCCATCACTTTTCCGTTTGGAAAAGCTAGCGGTATTTTCTTAATTTTTGATTCTTCCTGAATGCGTTGCGACGACACATCTCGTGGCCATCACTCTTCTGTTGGAAAAGCTAGCGGTCCTTCGAATTTTCTTAATTTTGATTCTCGCTGAATGCACGTGTTGCAGATCACAAAGGTGAAGTACATTGACAAGATCCAGATCGGCAAGTACGAGATCGATACGTGGTACTTCTCGCCGTATCCGGAGGAGTACGGCAAGCAGGCGAAGCTGTGGATCTGCGAGTACTGCCTCAAGTACATGCGTCTCGAGAAGACCTACAGATACCACCAGGTGAAGATCGCCGTAGTATTGCCGCTAGCTCGCGTGCGGTTCGATTTCTTCTTCCCTGTCGATGCCTTTGTCTGTCTGTTTCTCTCTCTGTCTCACACTCTTTCTCTCTCTCTCTCTCTCTCTCTCTCTCTCTCTCTCTCTCTCTCTCTCTCTCTCTCTCTCTCTCTCTCTCTCTCTCAATTTTCGCTCGCTCCCTCTTCGCTCTCTCTCTCTCACTCTCTCTATCTCTTTTACTTCGCTAGAGAATTTTTTTTAAATAAAGATGTAAGTGGAAATATTTAAGTTTATAAAGCCTTGCTTGACTATTGCTCTAGGGAGAGTGTACGTGGAGACAGCCGCCTGGGCAAGAGATATACCGGAAAGCTACGATATCTGTATATGAAGTTGACGGCAAGGACCACAAGGTAGAGAAGTGTCTCACGAAAAGTTCTTATTTACTCGGTCCATACTTCCTCAATACATGTTATTATATGTCAACGTGGCTAGCTATGATGTCACATCTTTAGCCGTGCGACCAGACTGTCCCAGTACAGTACGGGGTTCATACAAGTCTTGGAAAACCCGAATGGTCCTAGTATTTTAATACGATATTTTCCAGGTGTGGAAAATGGGATGTGGTCCGAAAAAACGTCTTGCAAAATAGGCTGTTATTATTATGTTTTGTCATGAATTGTGCTAGAATTTGAGCACGTGTCTATTGTCTCGACATTTCACCAGTGACATTAACAAGTTTAACATGTTGAAAATATAGTCATGTTTATTGTTTGAGAGGTAATAAAACTTGCTTGAGGGAAGTTTGTTTGCTAATAGTTGATTGCACGAAGCAATGTACAAAGGTTGCATTTGGCGTTAAATGCAAGTGGAAAGTGGACCATCTGAGTTCTGATAAGTCAGAAAAGTCCTAAAGAAAATTTCTGGTAAAATGTTGTACCTCAGGTGTATAACCGATCTGTCCACATCAGTGCTGACCGCTGAGCGAAACACTAACGTGATTCTCGTTTGCCAGATCTACTGCCAGAACATGTGCCTGCTGGCGAAACTCTTCCTTGATCACAAGACCCTCTACTTTGACGTCGAACCGTTCCTCTTCTACATTCTCTGTGAGGTGGACAAGCATGGCGCCCATCTAGTCGGCTATTTCTCCAAGGTAGGAAGCAGCTGCCAGTTAACTCTTGTACCATAGACAGGCGCTGCCTGCCCGGTGGCAATCGTAGCAACGAAGCTGCAATGGAAGTGTGTAGTTACCTCCGCCCATGGAGTGGAGGGGAGGTTATGTGATCGGTCTCGTGCGTTCGTGTGCCAGAGTTAGCATGTGTGTGTGTTCGCGCGATCGATATTAGCGCGTCCGCGAGCGAGCCAGCCAGCTCAGCGAGCGTGTACATGTGAGCGAGCAGCAGCAACGAGCGGCTGCTACGAGGTATGTCGCTGGCGGAGGTATGCACTCTCCGTGGGTGCACTCTGGCTAGTTAAGAGGTTGTGTGCATGTCTGTGCTTACATGCGTGCGTGCGTGCGTGCGTGCGTGCGTGCGTGCGTGCGTGCGTGCGTGCGTGCGTGCGTGCGTGCGTGCGTGCGTCGTGTGTGTGTGTGTGTGTGTGTGTTGTGTGTGTGTCGGTGCTGCCGTGTGGTGGTGCTGTGTGTGTGTGATGCTGGTGTGCGCACACTACACCGCTGTGTGGTGTGCATCGTGCGTGCATTTGTGTGTGGTTGGGTGTGTATGTGCTTCTGTCGTGTGCGTGTCGTGAAGAGGTAAGTGTGTTCTGTCGTGTGTGTGTGGGGGGGGGGGTTTACGTGTGTGCGCTTGTGTGTGCATCATGTGTGCGGCGTGCGTGTGAGGGTGGCATGCGCTATCTTTGTATGGTTTTGTACAGGCGTAGTATCGCTGGTCACACGCATGTCACAAATACAACTGCCCGTTCAATACAAAACATCTGCAGAGATTTAATTTTGCTCGTAATAATGTGCATTTTAGGAGAAGGAATCACCAGATGGTAACAACGTTGCCTGCATCCTCACACTCCCTCCATTCCAGCGGCAAGGATATGGAAAATTCCTCATGCATTCAGTGAGTAGCCATCAGCTAATTGCACCATTACATATATTTGTGTGCACATGCATTTTGCCAGATGCATACCATTGTGTATATTCATAATTTGCCTGCCTTCACCCTACCTGAGGTTGTCAGGAAAATCTTTCAAGAGATGTGTAAAACAGAAAAGAGTTGCCTTTTTTACGATTTTCTGCTAACTCCATCTGGGCATGGTATCAGTCTATGAATAACACAAGAACATGCAACGGGTACCATGCAAGACAGCCTCTGAATTCAATATGGCAGAGACAGCAATAACTGCGGTTACCCTTATTACTATCCGTGAGTGCTGCCCTACGAATTGACGACTAATCAATGGCAATGATCCTCGTAGCTGATCTAAGGTGTGTGTCTCCCTGCCGGACTTCCTTGTGAAGTCACTGTTGTATATATATACTCTTCGTCTTATCACGTAAAATGTGTTGTAGAAATGTAAGTGTCGTGGATATCGCTTCCCTGGTGAGTCCATCGTGCGCCTCCCAGGCTGAGATCGTCGGTGTTTCTTGGCAGGTTATGAGCTCTCGAAACTAGAGAGCCACTGTCGGGCTCTCCTGAAGAAACACTGTCGGACCTCGGCAAACTCAGCTACCGCAGCTACTGGTCCTACGTACTGCTGACATCCTTCGCAAACTTCAAGGAAACGCTCTTCAATACGTGACCTCAGGTGAGTGCTATCCACTGTGTCAGCAAACACCTCTGTAAAACAGCCACCTTGCCATAAAGGACACTTTGTATTTCCTCGAGTGGCAATTATTATACAGTGAAACCATTTACTATATATGCGTAAAAGAAATCTGTCCAGAAAGGGCACTTGGTATTTCCCTCAAGTGGAAGTGATACAGTGAGACCACTCTCTGTAGCATGAACAGTTGTCCATGTGGACACTTGAGTGTCAATTATAAAGCGAAACCCCCTCTATCGAACTAACACATGTCCACAAAGTGAAACCTAATATGCAGGTTTGACGTTAATTAACGAAAATATAACATTAATAAAATATAATTAGTGCCTTGAAAGCATGCTTCCCTTGGCATCTCGCTCCCTGAACATAACGTGCCATTGGTAAAACATTTAAAACCACCATGATAAGAAATAATTGAGTACAATTTTAGTTATAGCGTAGTGATGTCCCGATGATCGATATAATCGAAAGTCAGTCTTTGCAGCAACCGACTAAGCGCTCTATTATTGAAAATAAATAATCAATTATAAAAAAAAAAATTATTGACAATTTTTTTTCATAAAATTGGCAAACATTGATGAAATGACTCTTTATTTTATTTTGTGTATTTTGTTAGCTTTACAGCTGCTCGGAGACAGTAAATTTAACCTACACCAAACATAAGCAAGGCATAATACTGTTATATGGCTTTTATGATATTTTAATATAAAAAATACTGTATTATCACAGGGGTCGAATTAGCGCTAGCCCGCGCTAGCCCGGGACTAGTAATTGTTTGGAAGGGCTATTAAAGGCCCAGGCTGGCTTGCCCGTCGGGCAAGTAAACAATTCCAGACCAGATTTCGTAATTCCGCCCGTTTTAGGAGATATTCACGTGTATGATTAATGGGAATTGTAATTGCGGTTTGTGCAGCATCAATTCAGTCCACAATACCCCCTCAGAAAGCATCTGGAGCATTCGCTGAGATCAGTCATTTTCCCGCGCAACACTAGGGGGAGGCCTATCTGACATCATACTTTTAAGGCTAGTTGAAACCAGAAGGGCTAAGTACAAACCTTACCTTACTAGCCTTCGGGCTAGCTTGCATATTGTCCTTATTTCTAACCCGCTGTAATATGATATATGCTATATTTCAAATATCTGGTAGCGCGATCAATCAACATTGCTAACGTCGCGTCTGCGTCGATGTCTTTCAGCCACAACTGAGCGCATCACGCAGCAGGACATAATGGACGACGCTGCAGTACAAATGAACATGGTACAAGTACTGAGAAGGCGCACCACGTGATCTAGCGTGACGGCAAGATGCTTCGTCCGAGGGCATCTGAAGACCGCGTCGCAGTACAGCGGCCGCCGCTGGTTCCGTCGACCCGGAGCGCCTGCGTGGTGTCCGCCGAAGAAAGGCAAGATGGTGAAGCGTGCGACATCCGTGACGGGGCGCACCCCGGAGTCGTTGCGCTGGTGACGCCGTGAAGAAAGCGCAAGATGGTGAAGCGTGAGGCGGCGGTCGCCCCGGAGTTGCTACGCTGGCTGTCCGTCGAAGATAAGGCAAGATGTGAGTGGTAGAGACGCTGCTAACCGCTGCTTGGTTGTGGCCGGGGATAAAGAGCACGAGCGAGGGGCATACTGCAGGGTCTGCGTACTGCTAGAGGCAATATGCCTAGGGTCATACTGCCTGGTAGAGTCATACTGCTAGGTCTGCTATTGCTAGGCATTACTCTAGCTGGCGTCATTACTGGGCTAGGGTCATACTGCTAGGGGCATACTGCTAAGGGCATACTGCTAGGGTCATACTGCTAGGGTCTGGCTACTGCTAGAGGGATAGCTGCGTCATACTGCTAGGGTCTAGGTAGAATCTGCTAGCGTCGCATACTGCTAGACGGTCATTAACTGCTAGGGTCTGCGACTGCCTAGAGGCATAGCCTGGCTCAGGGGCATCTGCTAGTCTGCTAGGATAGCTACGGTACCTAGAGGCTGCTACTGCTAGGCGGGC